CATCAGCAAGTCTTCTGCGGGAGAGGACAAACCAGCTTCCAACTGAAAAGGAAATTAGGAAAAGACATTGGAAGTGAATAGGACGAACATTGAGGAAGTCACCAAACTGCATCATGAGGCAAGCCCTAACTTGGACTCTTGAAGAGAAGCAGAAAAGAGGGAGGCCATAGAACACATTACGCCGGAAATTAGAAGCAGATATGAAAAGGGTGAATGTTAACTGGAAATAGCTGGAAATGATTGTCCAGGACAGAGTTGGTTAGAGAATGCTGGTGAGTGGCCTATACTCTCCTATGAATGGTAACAGAGGTAAGTATGCAATTTCGAATAATCGGCTCGGCAAATATAAAGTTACTTTTGGATTAATGTTCTGTGAGGATGTTTTATGTGGCTCTTAATTTGTAACGTATTTTGTACATTTTTTACCTGATTTAGAATGTCAAAAATATATATGAATAATCTTTTCATTAATCAGAACGGAAATATAAAATTTGGATACTTTCTAAAGTTTATTACTCATTACTAGTCATTTACACCAACATTAGGATCTATGATACAGTTCATGTGTATGAATGTTTAATTGCAAGAAATAGTCTTTAGTTGGAAAACTCAATGAATTTGTAAGAAGGAATTGTTAAGTTTCTGAAATTAAGTGGGAATGGTTAATTACATAATTCAGATATTCGTGAACTAGGTAGATATTTACTAACAACACAAAGAATAAGAAACTGAGAAGATATTGGTATGTTTTCATGGTAAATGATTACCAATGCAAATCTGTTACAGTTTTTTTCATACCAAGACAAAAAACTGATAGATTTCCTGCATAACCAAAGAAAACTGTCTTTAAATTTTGGAGTCAAAAATGACATTGTAGTCTAGTTCTTGAAAACTAACTTTTCAATAACTCAAGTAAGCCTTTCGGTAATCTCCTAGTTGTCTCCTTTATTTCGAATTTTATTGATGGATGCATGAAAAATTTGTCAGTTTAGTCCACCTAAAATTTAAGTTAGAGAAGGTTATTTTAGTTGTACAAGCGTGTTTCTTGTCAATTCATTTTTACTTTATGATCTCCTAGGTACTGTAATGGAATGTAAATCTATCATTACAATTCATTAGCATTTCAATCAATTTTAGTTATAAAGCTTTAACAACTCTTAAAATCAAATGAGAACTACGTTTTACAAACAAAATATTGTTTTCAATTTAACATTTACCTTAATTTCTTTCTCTAGTTAGATTAACTGACTGTCAGTTGTCATAACAACCTATTTACTTAAGTCGTTGTTTAAATTTATCCTGATGTTTCTGTAATCTCATGGATCATTATGTGATGTTCCTTCTGAGTCAAAGAAATTAAACATGTTTTCTAATGTTATGACATGGATTTCAGTAGTGTAGGTTAGCTTCTATCAAACTAATTATCATTTGAATATACATTTGTTCATTATAAATACTTTTAAGCTATCTATTTAAATCGACATAATATATCGATATCTCTTTTTTAGAATTAAGTATAGAAAAGAACACAACACCTCATCTTATTTTATATTCTATAAAATTTTCTTATTTAGTTTCTATCAAATAGCTTGAATTATTGATTGTTTTTATTTTTTTATTTCCATTTTCAAAGAATAAGTTTACTACTGAATTTTCATAGTTCTGCTTATTATTTAAAGAGAGAAAATTTTTTAAATTTATAATTGAATTACAATATGGAATATAAATATGATCAAATAAACATTAATTTATTAATAAGAATAGTAGAATATATAAGAACTTTCGTCTAAATTAGAGAAAATAGTTACATAGTTTTTGGGCGCCGAGTTGATGTAAGACATTAAATAAGAATAATATATTTGGATTTACTTCAAATTCTTTCGCTGAGATTTATACAAATATATTATTATCAGAAGGGGTTTTGTGAATGTTATTGTAATTTAAATAGTTGAAATCATTAATCAACTGAAACTAGACCACCATGGAAAACCTGGAAGCACTGTACAACCGTTTAGTCTTATTGTGGGACTTTTCGGTAGTGCGTATCCACGATCTCGCCTTTCGAGATTCGAACCCAGTGACCAGTGGAGTTCAATCAGGCCTGCTGTGAGATAGTAACTCAATAAAGTCATTGGTGGATGTGTTGCTAAATTTCGTGGATTGGTTGAAGTTAGACATTAACACCGTTGAATGCTGGCTAAGTGGTCTAGTGGTTAAGCGTTCGTGCGCAAAACGGATAGGTCCTGGGTTTGAATCTCAATTGAAACTAGACCACCATGGAAAACCTAGAAGATCTGGATGGCCGTTTCGTCCTATTGTGGAACTCCACAGCAGTGCACATCCACGATCCCGACTCGCGAGAAGCTAACCCAGGACCTATCAATCTCGCGTGCGAGCGCTTATTCACTAGACCACTGGGCTGGCATCCAACGGTGTTAATATCTAATTTCAACCAGTCCACGAAATCTAGAAACTGTCTTCTATTGTCTTCAGTGAGTTCCTATCTCCCAACAGACCTGGTTGAATTCCACTGGTCACTGCTTCTCACTAGAACTCCAGAAAATATCTTTTTAAGTCATTCACTAGTGAGCATATGGTTACTATCAGAAGGGCGTTTGTGGAGATCTAATTTTAATTTTATAGTCTTAGTGTTATTCTTTATTACTTCTATGGTTTTATATTCAGATATATTAATTTGTCTTTACAGAATAAGATATTGTATTTAATGCTTAATTGAAAACATTCATTGTTGTTCATGTAATTGATTTAGGATGATTAGGAAATGTCATATTCTCTTCATAACGGAATAAGATATTAAGATATTTTTTTCGTATGTGATAAAAAATAAACAAACAACAAATAAACAGATTTCATTGTACACTTTTATTTGTAACAAAAGAGGTATATTTTTAAACAAATAATAAAGGATAAAAGATTGAAAATAAATAAATTTAAATGAGGTAAATTCAAATTGTCGACAGAATGACTATTATGTGGAATGTTAGTTTTGTATTTAATAGTTTACTGGCTCGAAACTGGTGGGTCCTGGGTTCGAATCCCACGAGAGTGGGTTCGTGGATGCGCACTGCTGAGGAGTCCCATAATAGGACGAAACGGCCGTCCAGTGCTTCCAGGTTTTCGATGGTGGTCTAGCTTCAATTGACTCATGATTTCAACTTTGATATTATATTTATTGAGTTTAGTAGGTAGAAGATTCTTACAATAACTAAAAAGATGTAGATTTTCAATCCCTTTTAACATATTTTGGTTATTCAAGTAAGTGTACTGATTGTAGATTGTGGTATGAAATCATATATGTTTAAAAAAATACATGATCATTTTATGAAGTTAGATTAATGGGCACTATTTGAAGTATATTATTACATATTATAAGCATTATTACAAGATGTATTATTTCTACTTGACAAAAACAACATAGGGTTCTATGAGTAGGTTGAGAAATACGAACCTATAGGAATTGCCTAATAGTTAGTTTTTGTAAGAAACCTATTTCGTGATTGTACTTAATTGTGCCAGTTTTTCAATCCTTCGCTCTTTAATGCTAAGTGATGTAAACTGATTAACTGAATCAAAACCTTTTCAATATAATTCAGTTGGCATTGATGAACCGTTTAACTGTGATACTAAAGTTTTAAGAATGAAATAAGATATTGTGATCATATATACGATGTATCTATACTCACGAAAAAGAGAACCTCAAGAGTTCTCAAGATAACATCATTTTGAAGCTTGAATTTAACTATAGAGCTATTAGAAAATAGTAAAATACTGCTTCTTTTTGTTCGGAAGTCACCTGTAACTAAATAATGAATCGTATAAAATGTGTGTTATCGACATGACAGTCTGTTAGTGGTCTACACTGTCAACTATAGTAATTTTTGTGATATCTTGAGGTTGTCATTCACTTCCACGTGTGAGTTACTGTCTGAATATAAAAAAATGATTTATTTTATAAGGCATGACTTGTCGATAGAATCTCAAAAAATCACTTTTGGACTCATAAATGATGAATAAAAAGTAGACATTCATTTAAGCAAGTTGGTAGAGATTTTGGATAGGTGGCAAACACATCTTTCAACACGGAAGTTTTGTATAAACAATTGCTTGAAAATAAACCGTAGTTTAAATCACATACAATTCCTAAATATATATAATCTAGAATAATAAACAGAAGTAAACCTATCACCAAGCTGAATTCTGTTAATCAACTAAGTAATAAGAGATTATTTGATTTTTTAAAGGTTGAGTAAACGCTTTTAACAGATCCTATTAATTGAGCTGTAAAATGCAAGTACAACCTGGAAACAAACATATATTCACACACTTTGGAATTTATTCCAATAAAATCATAAAACAATGGCATAACGATTAAACTCAGGCATAGATGCACTACAAACACATAAGAGTTCTCTTAGGTTTGAACAACTTCTAGTCCTAAAATTTAGCTTTTAAGGATACCTACGTTTTGTGTTACTCTGGGAAATTATGACCGGATCCAATATTGGTTACTGCTACTAGATGTTAGTTTTTAACTTAACAAAAAGTATTTTAAAAAACATTGATGACGGTTTAATTTGTCTCTAAATCTATTGATTTAGAATTTTGTATAACTATAGTCTAAGTTTCACGCATTAAAATGTAGTCAATTGGAAGATTTAGTCTTTATTGTACTGAGTGATAGCATCTACATCAAAAGTCTGACAAATTGAATTAAATAATGTTAACCACCTTTAACATATCTTACCATTTCAATCAATAATGATAAACTGATAGATGTACACATATGATAAGAAAATGATACACCATAATATATTGTTGAAATAATCAAAAATAGAGAGATGTTATGCAATTAAATTTAGGATCATCATGTATAGTTAATAATAGATGTAATTTGTTTATTTTTTGCACTGTACTTAAACTACAAACATTTACATATTACATAAATTTGATTATGTTTATTTTTTTTTTGTTACTTCCAGGAGGTTTCGAAGCATTTCGAAGTCTTCAAGATTCTCATGACTTCATTGATCGAAATATACCACTTTTTATTAATTATATAAATACTGATGATAGTTCTTGTTCCGATGCTGCATCACCTTCATTAAGTGATAATTCTGAAGCTTCATCAATTGTATCACGTGTATTCAATGATAAAGTAATTTCTATGAATGGTAATAATAATATTAATAGTATAAATACTAACCATAAGTTACTTTTAGATGATATTTCTTGTTATAAATTAGATAATTTTGAATCCAACGATACAGAAAAACTTATTTCTTGTTTAAAAGATTGTTCCCGTGATGAAACATTAGTTGTACGAATTAAACAAACACCATTAAGAGTAAATGAAATACAACAAAATAATGATGATGTATTAAGTGCAAGTATATCACAAATTTTACCATTTCTATATTTAGGTAAGTTATTATTATGTTTTTTTTCATTATTTTGGCTTCAATCTTATAATTAACATAAGTGTATGATAAAAAGAACATATATTTGAATAAAATTTTTTTAAGGTGTATGATTGTATTTTGTATTGTTTCAGAAATGTGTTCTCAAGATAGCATTCTATCTGCACTAGGAACGACTTGACACATGACATTGATCACCACTCAGTGATCAATCAATTGTGATTACGTCTCAGTCCTAAAGAAGGTCGGTCGCGGGCCGGATAGCTCAATGGTAACGTCTCTGACTGTGAAGCTGAGTAACACGGGATCAAATCCGTCAGGGAGCACCAGTTCCCTCAAGATTACAGGTACACCTTGCTGACCAGTGCCAAGTAGCATGAAAACGAGGTCCATAATTTCTTGTTGACCACCTTCAACCACCATCTTATCTCAACATAGAGCACGCAGTGTCAATCCACCTAGACTAGTGGCCACATTGCAACTTGATCGATAGCATTCAATCTGTACTAAGAAGGACTTGACACGCATGACATTGATTACCACCCAGTGATCAATCAATTATGACTAAATAGTTTTTTTTGTTGATATGTTTCGTTCAGATTTGAATAATTAGTTTCCTCTACATATGGGCTCTAAGTTTAATGAATACAATAATCATACAAATTAAAATTGTAGAAAAACAGAAACTACAATTAAATAAACCCTTAATTTTCTGTTTGACAGTGGTGTGAAAAATAATCTATATGTTTATACTAATATATTAATTTTATACAGAATTTCGAATAATAAGTAATCATGACAATACTAATAATACAAGACTGTGTACTGTCTATAGAATGTGGACAAATTAAAAACAGACCTATTTTGTCAAATTAATTAATAGGCCTAAATCAATTGTCAGGGGCGACCAAACCAAAACGTGGCATCAGTGCTTGAAGTCACTAACTTCTAGTCTGAGCCATATTGGTAGATGCAGGCTACTTGTCTGAGGTCCGCGTGACTCATAACCAATGGTTGGAGAGTGTGGGTGATATGGCTCAGAATCAATCACAATATTGTAGGTGTATACACTCTCTGTCTTCCCTTGAACTGTGAGATTAAAATTGCTCCACATCATTCTTTCTTCCTTTACTACATCCTTATATACATTTTTTCATTTATATATTACGACCAATAGAGTAACTACTTGTATGAATTCGGTGTTTGTCTTGTTGTGCTAATGAGGTGTGGTAAGTTGAACAGATGCATATATGTGGCTGATCGTAGGTTGTAACTGACTGAATGACCTAAATCAATTAATAAATTCATAAACATAATTATTTAGTCATTGTTGAAAGCGTGAGTCAATTGAAGCTAGACCACCATGGAAAACCTGGAAACACTGGACGACCGTTTCGTCCTATTATGGGACTCCTCAGCAGTGCGCATCCACGAACCTGCTCTCGCGAGCGAGATTCGAACCCAGGACCTACCAGTCTCGAGCCGAAGCCCTTAACCGATAGACCACTGAGCTGGCATCCAACGGTGTTAATGTCTAACTTCAACTGATCCACGAAGTTGAGCAACCATTCACCAATTGTCTTCAGTGAGTTCCTATCTCACAACAGACGTGGTTTTGAACTCCACTGGTCACTGCTTCTCACTAGAGCTCCTAGATATACTTCTCGAAATCACTAGTGAGCATATTATGGTGGTCTAGCTTCAATTGACTCACGCTTTCAACAATGATAAATACTAAATCTCCACAAAACCCCTTCTATAATTATTTAGTTACAATTACTAAGTTTTGATTTGATAATCTCGAATATATTGAGCATTGGGTAGATTGTTATAAATAAATTAATATATTTGTAATATCTCAATGAGTAGTAAAATTAGATTTTCTGACATTTTGTGACTAAGTCTTCAGAGAATAAAAAAAGTGGCTTACACTAAGTCACGAAACGTTAGAAAATCTCACTTTTCTACTCATTAAGATATTACAAATATAATATTTATCTTATAATTATTTAAGACATGTGAAGTGATATTGAAAAGAATAAAAATCGTAATATCAAACAATAAAGATAATTTTTCGGCATAAAATGTATACAAAAAATTAGAAATTTGAATCATATCAAAAATTATAAAACAAAGTAGTAACTAATATATCATCTACCACTTTGCTTTATGAAATATTAACATGATTCAAAAAATTTACTTGGTATTATTTGTTTGAATCTTCCCATTGATTTTAAGGACTGCAAAATGATCATTCTCTGAGATGCAGGTACATCCAGCTGACGAGTCCCAAATGGGACGAAACTCAAGTCCTAGATTCCACTACTAGCAACTATCCATCTTTGCTTATAGTGCTTGTGGTCTCAGGCAATCTTGAGGCAGTCCGCATAAGATGCACATATGCCAATAAGAGACTGACCAATTGCAGTCATAAAAAACAATGGGAAGATTCAAACAAACAAAATTAAATGAATTCAAACTTCTCCCTATTGCACAAGCAAGTGACTAACAGAGCTCAGTAGCTAAGTGGATAACGTGATGCTGTTTGAATAGAACGGTACTGGTTTCGAGTCTCAGAGTGAACATTAACTCTGAAATGCAGGTACATCCAGCTCACGGGTCCAAAATAGGACGAAACGCGTGTACTGGATTCCACTGCTAGCCACTATCCATCTTTGCTTATAATGATTCAGTAAATTTTAGAAAACGTCGCATATTTTGCATCATATTATGACATTAGATAAATGATGTTAAATATTGCTTTTTTAAATGAATAATCTATAAGAAAAAAAATTTTTTCTAATCAAATGAACATATAATACCGATTTTAATTTCTTTCACTATTATCTTAAAACATTTAATCAAACAATATATAACCCATTGAAATCAATTTTCAATGAAAAATAATAATTACGAGGCGGGATCGTGAAAGCGCACTGCTGAGGAGTCCCACAGTAGGACGAAACGGTCGTCCAGTGCTTCCAGGTTTTCCATGGTGGTCTAGCTTCAATTGACTCATGATCTCAACTATTGAAATTACTCTAATATCCACAAAACCCCCTTCTGAAAATAATCATCATTCAATTATTTAATATTATAGGTAAAAAAAAATATTATTGAGAATTAATTAATATGTCTAAAAGCAACTGTAATAATGTCATGAGAAATTTTGATTTCATTCTATGTTCAAAAACAATCTATATAAAGCAATATGAATCAATCCTATTTTAACAAAATGGAATGACATACTAGAATAACAAAATTCTATATTAAAATAAGAGGATTAAACTGAACGGTCTGTTTCTTTTTTATCTAATTAAGTATTTTTATTCATGTACTTAATATTAATTTTCTTTTCGGTTTGACATTATAGTCATTTATTATTATTGATATCATGTTTTAAAATTCCTTTTATAAAGTAAACAAGATATAAACATTAATTATACAATTACTATTGGACATAGTTTATTTATGTTAATCTATAAAAATCTGCTTAAACCATTAGAATCAAACCATGAGGTATTTCCTGGAGTTCTAGTGAGAAACAGTAACCAGTGGAGTTCAACCAGGTTTGTTGGGAGATATCAACTCACTGAATACATTGGTGAATGGTTGCTTGATTTCGTGGATTGGTTGAAGTTAGACATTAACTCCGTTGGAAGCCAGCACAGTGGTCTAGAGGTTAAGTGCTCGAGCACGAGACTAATAGGTCCTGGTTTCGAATCTCGTGAGGTGGGATCGTTGATACACACTGCTGAGGAGTCCCACAATAGGGCGAAACGGCTATCCAGTGCTTCCAGGTTTTCCATGGTGGTCTAGCTTCAATTAACTCATGATCTCAACTATATAAAATGTTTTTATATCAAAAATGGTTTCAGAGCGTTTTCGGAAAGTCATGAAGCTAAATTTTTTTACTAGTCAATGCTCATTAAAAAGGAATATTGAAATTCATCAGAGGATTGATATTCGAATTCATGTGACCTAGTTTAACAGTTACAGACAATACTACAGAACTATTCCTTTCACAAGTGATTTCAGGTTGAATTTATATATTCACTATGCTTAACCATTATTCAGATAACCCATGCTAACATATGTCACTTAGCAATGTACGTAATTCGATAGAGTTTTATTTGTTATCACCTACCTCAAAGCATTAAAAAATTGTATTAGAGCCTTATTCAGATTGGTAGCTGAACTAGAACTTTATCGATTGGATCTAGTGAGTATGACGATTTAGTTAATAAGTCATTTGGTATTACAAAGTGGTCACTTAATGTAATGTATATTTTTCATAATCAATATAATGTTTATCAAATGCCCTAGTCTATTTACTGAATTTATATAAAAATTTAAATTTGTGTCACTTTTATACAATAATTTATATCTGAAGACTATGACGAGTAGGTTTACAGAACCAAGAATCTGTCTTGACAAATCTTCTAAGCAAATAATTCACTTTTGTATGTTTATTTTATGGACCTTTTTCTTTTATAAACTTAGATAGATAAGAATTCATGATCAATGTCGAATAATATGATTTTCTTTACTTCGTCAATTTTCTTCAACTGCTTTTAAACTAGAAACAAAATTAGTAATATCGAGGCAGTACGCATAGGATACTCATATGCCATTAAGAGAATGATTAATTGCAGTCCAAAATAACAATGGGAAGATACAAGAAAACAACAACTATTGAATTATTAGAAGGGGTTTTTGTGGTGATTTGGTATGTTTCATAGATGAAAGCATGAGTCAATTGAAGCTAGACCACCATCGAAAACCTGGAAACAGTGGACAGCCGTTTCGTCCTATTATGGGACTCCTCAGCAGCGCGCATCCACGAACCCGCTCTCGCGAGCGAGATTCGAACCCAGGACCTACCAGTCTCGAGCCAAAGCCCTTAACCGATAGACCACTGAGCTGGCATCCAACGGTGTTAATGTCTAACTTCAACTGATCCACGAAGTTGAGTTATTGAATTATTATCATTATTTCTAGTT